TTTTTTTTGAGTTGCAAAATCCACTTGAACATGGCGCTGCTTTTTTCGAAGTTTCTCAAGAACCATTCGAGAGGCACATTGAATTTCTTGTGATACTGATGGTTGAAACCTTCCAATATCCGAAACGATATGAAACTAAAACCGGTTGTGGTCATCCATCAATTTGTTCGCTCGTAAAACAACGGCAAAACGATTTCACAAGGCTGATTCACAACGAGGTGCAATAAAAACAACTCGGTAGGATCATCATTTGCCAAAATAAATACGGGCCATTGTTTTGCAGGCATTGATCTAATTATAGTACCTACTACCTGATAATTAAACGTGAATTACCCGGGGAAAACATCCGAACCGACGTAATTTGTCATTAATGCGTTCTTCCTGAAATATCAAGCCAGAAAAAAACGGGACTTCAGGACTTTAGGGACTTAGGCTTAAACTGCTTAAAGCTACCTTTCCGCATCATTCATTATATGGAAACGTGAGCACTTTAAGTGGACTGGACGCTTTCCAGATTTGCCTTTTCAACCAGCTCTAGAAGTTCGTTGAACCTGAAGTTATTAAAATTATCAAAACCAAGCAAAACTTTCATATATTTAATAATCAGTTTCGCTCGTTCATACAAGGAAACTGTGGGTCTTTCCTATTCTCTGTATAGTTGTTCAATAATTTACTTCGAAACATATAACAAAATAACAATAAAAGTAACAATGAAACGTAATAAATCTTCACAACATAAGCAAATCCAGTGAGAAAGAACCGTAAGAATTAACTGACCTCCGCAACACTCAAGAAGCGAATACATTCAGGAAAAGCGCGTCATAGTTGACTTAAAAATAGCGCTGTGCTATTTTTGAGTGGGTAAATGGATGATCTAAATCACTTTTAAAGTGAAGACTTGTAAAAAATGTCATATTATTGTTCAAAACAATTAGTTAGGATATTTGTCATTTTTTTCTCAAATTATGTCTAAAATAACTTTAAAAATTAATCGAATTCTTCAAAATTACTAGTCCAATACTGGTTGTAGAGTATTCTTTAGATAAACTATGTTTGTCAGTAATAGTTCATTCTTAGTTAGTTAATTCTAAGTAAATTAAATAATAGATGGGTATTTTTCAGATTAAACTTGGTTACATATACCGGTACGAAAAGCCTTTGGACAAAAAACCTTGGTAAAGAAAAGTCCAGATCATCATTTATGTAAATTTTGAATTTCTTAACGTAAATATTTGCTTCGGGAAATTCGTCCAAACCTGCGGAAGTTTTTGATTTTAACATTTTTTATCTAAACTTCTTGGCCTTTTTTCAATCACTGATAGAAAGGACATGAACGAATCAACTCATCATACATGTTTGCTCATGCACGTGTTTTGGAAATTTCAAATTACTGGAAAACTGTAGACTTTTTCAAAAAGCATCCAGACGCACTTTTTGGCTAAAAAGCTATGTAATTTTAGTAAAAGTGCCCAATGTTTCCTCAAAGTTATTTTATAGAAAATTAGACTTGTTAGAATTTTTGAACGTCCCCCGTAGTTATTCTAGTAAGGTTTTCTAATAATGTTGTATCTGGGTTTATTAAGTATGTGATATCCAACATGTAAGTATACCAAGTTTCATGCTTTTACCCGTTTTCGTTAGGAAATTAAATAATACATACATGTTGAGTAGGATGTAGTGTAGATTATGCCCTTAAAGTATCACAGATTCAAAGTGGGCCACTCTGTATATGTATTTTGTTTTAATATTAGTTTAATAACATTGATACGTTCAAGGATAGATTGAAGATATTGAGATAGAAGATAAAGGTGATCCATCTAGATATTTCTCAAAAATATAATTTTCTTGAGTCTTCAAAGCAAGGTGTGTAAAATGCAAAAAAAGGTTTTAATTGATATTTTACTTCTCCAAAAGCTACAATTCGAATTTATTTATCCAGGTTTGCAATCCATATTGGTTCGGGCAATAAAAGTGTAATTCCCGGCACCGATATGAAAAAATTGACGGGCGCTCTAAAATCGTTATTGGCCGTAGTAAAATTCGCTCGATATTTTCGTTTTCAACAATATGCCGCAATAAAATCCTGTTTTCTTTCATAGCGGAAAAATAAACAAGTTGCGGTCAGGCAATACAATCCGGCCCATTTCAGCTTGATAATCCTCGAGGTAGTTTATTGGTCTTGTGAATGCGTTTTCCTTTCGTTAGGAACATTTTATTTTTTTATCTGTTTAAGTTGCAGATTTTTCTTGTAAGCCTTGTTGAAGTTGAATTTTTGCTTGATTGTTTGGAAAATACTGAACACAATTTGAAACCCCATACTTTATGGTTTTACTAGCATCTGCCAAGCTCCAAAAAACTTCCAAAGTACCTAGAAAGTTGTATATTTTGAAATAAAACATATGACAATGTTTTGAAATGTGATTTGTCCGAACTGTATGAACAGCTCAATCGTTAAACACTGCTGAACACTTGGAGTCGAGCCAAGTTCGAAAATTGGTTGCCCCGATCGATGTAATGGGAATTTATAATTCAATATCATTTATCTAATGCGATAAATTAAATCGTAATGGGTTGTGAACTCCTTAGCGTATTGATTGGCTACTCTTGGAGTTTTGGAGATTAGTTTTTCCAGTGGTACGTGTTGGTTTCGGAAAATGAAAATTAACATAAAATCGAGCATATGGAGAATTTGTATAGTGAAAAGTTGCGATTTGTGCGATTTTGAAAGTTTTTGCTTAGTCCCGCTGTCCATTAGGAAACCTCTTCAACTTGTGCTGCTAGTTTAAGGACTGTTGGAAAATCAGCCAATGAATCACTGAATTTTCGCAGTTTCAGGCTCAAACCTTCAGATTTTTTTCTTTCAGGTTCTTCTTACTGTGCAAAAATTGCAAGCGGCTTTGGAAGTTGCGTCATTTTTTTTGCTCCACGGTTTATTAGGAGGACTCTTGAATTTCCGTTACTAGTTTAGGGATTTTCGAAAAATCTGTCAGCCCTTGGATTTAAATAAAATTGTTTCAGTTCCAAGCTTCAACTGTGTGCAACTGTGTCCCAGTTTGAAAGTTGTGCGACTTTGTTTAGTCCGCAACCGCTTTTCATGTTGTTTGTTGCTTTTTCTTGTAGTTTTTTGCATTGAAGCAGATAAAACAAGGGAAGACGTCAAGAACAAAAGTAGAAAATAATAAGAGTAAAAGCCAGTGGATGCAGATAATTGCCTTTAAATAATTGCAATTTTGGACTTTAACGACTCTTAAATATTTGCTGTTATAAAATGTGAATATTAACGGGGTTTTGGATTTTAATTACCGTAAAACCAAGGATGAACGTTTCCATGCGGAATTCCAGCTTCGTGCCAGGTAATTTTTCATTGCAATCGACTTTGAACCAAACAGCACACGGAAACAATGCCAGGCATGTTCAGTTTAGTTCAGGCTCAGGCAACATTTCTGGAGTTATTTGCTTACTGCGTTTTTCTCTTTTTCTCTTCGACCATTTTAGTCAATGCAGAACTATTTCTGCTGTGTTCTCACGAAACCAATTCACTTTCTTAATGTTGAATCATTCCCAAATAAATTAGCTGAAAACAATTTCACCAGCCAGCAATGAAAGTAGCCTTTGATCACGCCTAGCTATTAGATACTTTGGAGCCATTCTTTTGAACATTTGCAACATTGTTTTCGCCGGTGTTTAGCTAATATGAAATGGTGTACAATTAATGTATTAAAGGATCAAAATCGATGGCTCAATTAGCGGAAACTGCGAGCATAAATATTTATTCGGAGACCAACGCCAAGATAAATACACATAATATTTTTTGGCAATCATATTGGTTGTAAGCCATATATTCTTTGGTTTAACAGAGTGCTTTTATGGGGGGGTTTTTGCATTGTTTTCCATCAATCTCCAGTGGGTATAAATCTGTTCATCATCTGTTCATCTGTTCAT